AAACCGTAACAGAAAATATGTTTAAATTAAATATAGTTATTCAAACAAATAATACTTTTGAATCAATGCAGTAAATATTTTCTATATATTGAGATTAAACTTGCAAACTAATTTCAATTAAACAAAGTCGTCTAACATTATTTTTGTGTTTCATTTAAGTATAATGTTTTCTCAGTGTAATTACGAAAAAAAATTTACTCTTCAAGCAGAATTAGGTTTAAAAATCAAAATTTTTTAATCAAAAATATAGAGAAGAAAGATTAAGTAAACTTTATTGTTGTTGAAGACACTGCAAAAAGAGGTGTCTTATTTTGAGATGTTTTTAGACACCAAAAACGTCTCAAAATAAGACACTTCTTTTTGCAGTAAACCATTAAAAATTGTGGGTGTTCAGATTCAGGTGTTGGACAGACTTTAAAGCACAAAAAATAACCTGTAAGTTTACAAGAATAACTTACAATGCAAGCTTGCTGCAAGCAGCGAAATTGCAAGCCTAGCCTGATTTTGCATATTTGTGAATAAATATATATGTATACTAGGGTGGTCCTTAAAAAGGTTTTTTTCGAATTTCTTTGCTCCCAGGGGCTTAAATGCTTCCAAATTAATAAAAAAAAAATTCCCTAAAAATTAGAGCTCTTAATATTAACTTTTAGATAGTCCGCACTCAAACTTAAATTTAAAAAATTTTTTTTATCTTTTTATTTTTATTAATTTATTTTGATAAAATTTGGAAGGTGAATCAATACTGAGGAGTATTACGGTCACAAACACCTAAAATCAGACAAAAGGATCTTCAAAAATATCGAAACAAATATTTTTTAGCAATTTTTGAATTTTTGAAAAAAATCGATGATTTTTGTATTTTTATAAATAACTTTTTTATCTATTAATATTTTCATTAATTCTTGTCAAAATTACATTCCTGACATGAAAACAAATCGATTAATGTATGGGGCATTCCAGGCCAAATCGGAAATTATTTTGCTTTTGCATCTTAAATTTTTTTTAACATTTTTTTCTTTTAGTACTTTTTTAAATGAGCTACCTTGATTGATTTCAAATTTTTTCCTAAAGCGGTTCAGGAGATCCAGATTTTTGAAAAATAACGTTTTTTACGTAATTTTTTTTTTTGAATGCTTATAACTCGGTCAAAAATTGATCAAATTGTTGGACGTTTTTATAATAGAAATTTAAAAAAAAATTTTAAATAATTTACAATAAGATTTAAAAAATTTTAAAATAAAATTTCATTTTTAACAATATATGTATCCATCAATTTTTTCAAAATTTTTTGTAAGAAACTAGCGCTAAATTAACAATTTTTAAGCCTTGTCCGATCGTGGTCAAACGATGGGATCTATTTATGTTGAAATTTTTAATTTTTATATACGCAGTGGTGGCCAAATGACTAACTTGCCATTTGACAAAATCACACAAATTCTTCACAGCAAATGTGTTTTTAGGCTGAGTCTCTCCAAACTTAACCTTCTTTCTGTGTAAAATTGAGATTTGGTCAAATGACAAGTTTGGCCTACCGTTTTCACTGTGTATATAAACATTAAAAATTTCAAATTAAATAGATCCCATCGTTTTCCCACGATCAGACAAGGCTTAAAAATTGTTAATTTACAGCTAGTTTCTTACAAAATATTTTTAAAAAGATTGATTGATACATACATTGTTAAAAATGAAATTTTATTTTAAAAATTATAAAATCTTATCGTAAATTAGGTATTTAAAAAATTTTTTTAAATATTTTTATTGAAAACTACGCGTGAAAACAAAACTTTTCATTATAAAAACGTCCAATTTGATCAATTTTTGACCGAGTTATAAGCATTTAAAAAAATTTACGTTAAGGTATTAGTCGCGTAAAATGGTTTTCGTCAGAATTTTTTCAAATTTTGCATACTTATTCCTGGAGTATTTATCTACAGAATGAGACCAATTTCATTAATTTTGACCGTTTCAAAGCTTCAAAAAATGAATTCAAAGTTCATACATTTTGCATGGAGGGAGCACCCTATGCATGTATTGATTTTGTTTAATAATTATTTATATGATAACTAATCGTCAGATTTTAAAATAAAAGTACCAAAGTATTCAATTAGATGAAACAAATAAATAAAAAAAACATGACATTTTTTGACCGCGCCAAACTATAAATAGTTATTAATAGTTATTAACTGTTATTTTTTTAACTTTCTGTCAATAGACAGAAAGTTAAAAAAATAACTAAATTATTTGAATTTTCATACGAACGAATAGAGTGGGGAGTTAAACTATCTCTCTCACTCTCACTGCCCCACTCTAGTAAGCGGCCCGGTAAACTTTTGACCAGAGCCAACTGCGTGACTAATACCTTAAAAACGTCATTTTTCAAAAATCTGTATCTTCTGAACCGCTTTATGAAAAAAATTTTAAAAAAATGAAGGTAGCTCATTTTAAAGAGTACTAAAAGAAAAAAAATGTTAAAAAACAAATTTAAGATGCAAAAGCAAAATAATTTCCGATTTGGCCTGGAATGCCCCATACATTAATCGATTTGTTTTCATGTCAGGAATGTAATTTTGACAAGAATTAATGAAAATATTAATAGATAAAAAAGTTATTTAAAAAAATACAAAAAACGATTTTTTTCAAAAATTCAAAAATTGCTAAAAAATATTTGTTTCGATATTTTTGAAGATCCTTTTGTCTGATTTTAGGTGTTCGTGACCGTAATACACCTCAGTATTGATTCACCTTCCAAATTTTATCAAAATAAATTAATAAAAAATAAAAAAAAATTTTTTAACTTAAGTTTGAGTGCGGACTATCTAAAAGTTAATATTAAGAGCTCAAATTTTTACGGAATTTTTTTCTATTAATTTGGAAGCATTTAAGCCCCTGGGAGCAAGAAAATTCGAAAAAAACCTTTTTAAGGACCACCCTAATGTATACAGCAATGCCAAGGAGTGGATGTTCGCCATACACGGAGAAAAATTTTCTGTTAATGATTACAATAGTCGAACAGTTCTGCTCGGATATGTGACCACTTTTCGTAATGCCTAAAGTAGCTTCGTTGTAACAATTCTGTAAGTAGAAACGTACTCATTAAAAATTTATTTGAAATAAATACGAACTAAATATGAGTTAGCACAAAGTCTATGTGACTGATTACAATAGTCTACGTTAAAAGGAAATCTTGGATTCTATCCACATTTGCAGCAATCTAAGGGAATCAGTGATACAGTCTGTAGTAGCCTTTACAACAGGACTATTGTAAAATAAGGTGACCGGGGCTGGCTTGCCTTCTTATTTTACTATAGTTCTTCGTAAAGACTACTATTGCTATATTTCTGATTACAAATGACTGTTGTAAAGTTAAAAAAGAAAATTTTCAACTAAAATAAATTTTTTTTGCAATTCATGACTTCTAATCATGTATTGCACATTAATTTCACCCTTCCAAGACCACCCACTTCAAGATTAATTATATTATTAAACTAGACAATTTTTTATTACATACACATTTGAAAAATCCTAACGCTTGGAGGTACGAACCTACGCCTAATATTTACGCACCGAAATCTCGCACGCTAACCACTATGCTACGCTCGCATGGGACTCTCAAATCTTAAATACTCTCAAGTGTCACAAGCTGAAATAAAACTTGTCGAATAACTACGCGTCAATGCTACAGCTATATTTTTATTATTATATAATATATTAAATAATTGTATCTCAATATTAATATTAATAAATATTATTATTAATTATTATTATTTATTAATTATTTTTTTATTATTTATTAATTACTATTATTAATATTAATAATATTAATATTATTAATATTGAACATAATAATATTAATAATTTTAATTAATATCACAATAATAATAAATTTATTATTATTGAGATATTATTAATTAACATTAATATTATTGAGAATTAATAATAAATTATTAACATGAATATTAATATTTATTAATATTTATTAATATTAATAATTTATTATTAATTCTCAATAATATTAATTAATAATATCTCAATAATAATAAATTTATATTAATAGTATAAATTTATTTATAATAATTATAAACTATAAGTGCACAACAAATTTTTTTAATTGTTTAATTTTGAAAAAACTCTTAATAAATAATTACTTAATATTTTGATTAAATTCATTTATTAATTAATCATTATTTTCTAAAATAATGCAATTAATTATTGTAATAATTATTTAGTTATGACACATTTATTGAAAATAAATTTATAATGTGATTTATAATGTGACAATAAATGACGACATCCGCAGTCGGATCCGGCCCAGCACCGAGCCAGTACGGACTAAACATATCCGTCATTCTTCCGACGCCGCAGAAGAATAAGATCCGCCGGCGGAAGAAATCCAGTACCGAGCCAGTACTGACAATAGTGGGAAGACGGTTCCGACAGTCGGAGCATAATCTGTACCGCGCCGGTTGCTTTTTCAGATCCGAATCGGTACAGACCGTCGGTACTTGCGATCTGTACGGGCGCGGATCCCAGCCGGTTGTAAATTCCGACATTCGTCCGACTTTTCCGCCTGGGTTATACACTTTAAATGTAAAAAAATCACTTCGTTCTCAATAATTAATACAATTATTGTTCATTGTTAGTCTTTAATATTGTAAGGTCTATTTTTTATTACATTTCCATAGTGAAAATTTTTTTTCTAACACACGCACCGAAGGTAAAAGATTTCTTGCCTGTATAAATTATTATATAATTTACACAACTTACGTAAGTTACATAACTTACGCAAGTTACGTAAATAACAAAAGTAAGTTATATAAATAAATAAGTTAACTTACGTAAGTTACGTAAAAATATAAGTTACGTAAATAATGTATATGATACGTAAAAAATATAACCCAATGGGAAATGCCAGTGTAGTGCCGATGTTCACCACTGGCTTAGTACTCAGACGATTGTTCGGCGTAGTCTAGCCGAGCCTCGACAATTAGTGCTGGCGCAGTACAGAATTTTTGTTTCGCCAAAGCTTGGACAAGCCACGGCGGCAAGTGCTGGCTGAGTATAGAAAAATTATTATATTAAATTATTAGTATTAATTATTAGTATTATTATACAAGGTGATCTGAAAATCGTATTCAAAATTGTAGAATTAGATTCAGAAAAAAATTCTAAGACAGCACTTTTTCTTTTTTTTATGAAATTCTAAATAGTTTTAAAATAAATTCAAATTAAATGAATTGAAAAGTCACGATAAATGTAAAGCATTTGAACACCATTTTTGTCATGCGGCAAACTTCTCTATAAAAAAAGTAAACAGAAGGAATGACTGACTTCTGCCTAAATGTTATGAAGAAACATTTATCAATTATTAGAGAAAATCACTTGAAGGGCAAAAGCTATTTTTATTTTCAATTACAGGAAAGAATTTAAATTGCAAAAAGATGTGCACATGAAATAAATATATAAATAAAATATTGGACTTTGTAAGGTTAGTATAAATTAGTAAAACAATATTAAAATATCATGCTGGTTGAAAGTATGGTTAACTCGTTATAATTTAAAAAGTTTTTTTTTTAAATTACACTGTGCGACACATTTTTCTCTCCCGGTTGTCTCTAGTGCTAAATGATAGTACAAATAAACAGTAATTTAACCCTCCAAGGGTTTTTGAAATAAAGCTTAAATTTATTTTTTATAAACCTTTGAACTTATGCTCATTTTTGTGAAATTTTCAAAAATTTTAAATCTTTTGCTATATTTAAGTAGAAATATGAATTAAGTAATGAGTAAAATATAAGTATTAAATAAATTCTAATTAAAAAGGTGTAATTATATTATAGTACTTAATTGGAAAAGTGATTATAAAAGCTAATTTATCGAATTTTTCTGTATTTTTTTAACAATTTTTTTATAACCATAATGTAAATAAATAATCATATTTAAATTGTTTAATAATTTTTCTTAGGAAAAAATATTCAAAACAATTTTTTTAAACAATCTATTTTTAAAATTATATATCACAAAAGGTGCAAGATTTTTTAAAAATATTATAAATTGTATCATGAACTTTAAAATTTCATAAAAATATGAAATGAACTAAGTTTGCAAAATCCTTTTGGGGTTTTATTATTGCATACATCTACTTTAATTTAAGCCTAAACTTATTTGGGAAAGAAACAATAAACCGAAAATTGTTGCACAGTGTTATAATTGACGTTTAAATCAATTGATTTTTAATATGGGCAAAAAATAAAAAAGTCAATAAACAATATATGATAAAAAATAAAACCAATTTTTGCAAATATTTTGAAAAAAATATTCCGAGACCTTTAAATGTTTTTTTTAGTTTTGTAGTACATTTATATTATTTAAGATACTGACATTTTAAAAAATAGAAATTTTGAAAAAATAACTTTTTGTGTTTTTTTGGTATTCAATTTGCAATAATGTATGACAATAATGCAATTTATAAAATTTACAAAATAATACAAAAATTGTAAATTCATTTTTGCAGATGCTTTGTTTTACTTTTATTTCACATTATTATTGTTATTTGTATTTTAGGGAAGGAATTTACCATTACATGATTGAAAGATAAAACATAAATATGAAACTGAAATTAAAGAATTGAGAGAAAAAATGGATCGTAAGAACTGTAAAATAAAGATATGCAGAAATTCAATGTAGAGAAGAGAAAAAGGTGTTCTTTAAATAATGTCCAACAGCAAGCAGAACTTTTTTTATCAACAATCGCTGTTTTCATGGACCATTAATGAATCGTTGTGCTTGTCGCAGTAAAATGTCAAGAAATTGTTATCACCATTAAATTTATTATAAATATTAGTTAATACTCATTTTTGTGTTAAATTGTCCGAAAAATTAAAAAAAATTCTTTTTTGTTAAAAAAATAAATTATAAATGAAATAAACATTATTTTTTTATTAAGCATTGATAGACAGACAGAAAAACGCCAAAGCAAACGCATAATGGTTTTAGCTATAGGCCACGAAGTCCTTAAAACGTACTTCAACAATTTTTTCTATTTGACAAGTATAACAAAGTGAACTTTAGTTTGAACTTTTAAATAAAATTAAGAATGAAATTTTTAAGTTTTTTTCTTTTTAATAGATATAATTTGAATATTTTATAAATATAATATAATACATATTATTAAGTATTTTAAATTTTCAATTAATTGTAACTTTTAATAACAATATACTATACAAATAATAATGAATTGTAATATCTGTTGTTTATTCTTGTATATCATTATTTTCTTCTTTATTACTCTTTGTTTCACGTGTGCAATTATCATTTTCTTTATTATCATTAATTTCTTCAGTCTCAACTTGTCCTTTTATTATTCTCATTATTTGGAAAATCATTTTACATTTCTAAGACACTATTCTCCTCTACATAAATTTTTTTAACATGGTTCATTTTATTTTTAACTTTCTCTAAACGTTTTTCTTTTAACAGAAGAATTTTTAATGTTTTAGAATTTATCTTTGTTGATTGCTCTTTTGGGTTCCTTATAGTACAACACGTATTATTTATTAATCTTACCAGGTCAGTGAGATCAAATTTTACGGATTTTGGTCTATTTTTTTCCACGTATGCTAGGGGAGAATGGGGAGTTATGAAGCACGCTTTGTTTATGAGTTGTAACTTAAAAAAAAAATTTCAAATTTTCTCCACTTGAATCTCTAGAGTGTCTTCAAATATGCTTACTGGTTGAAGAATTTGTATGAAATAAAATAAAATCGACAATTTTTTTCAGTTAAGCCAAAAAGCTGCTTTCTCAAGTTTTTAAAAATCATTGGGAGTTGTGAAGCACTACTAAAAATCACTGAAAATTATATTTTTTGGTAAATATTCTTTACTGAGATTTTGCATAAATCCTTTTCAATATCGAAAACCTAATCATTGCTGGTTATTATATGGGTGAACTTATCTTTTTGATTTGTTCGAGAATTTTGTAAGAATTCTACAAAAAGGAACACTCAAAAAAACTTTATAAACGAAAGGTTAAACAAATTTTCTTGAAAGATATGCAAAATATCTGCTATCAGAAAGAATCCAATTACAAAACGAAGATATTAGGTGAAAGAATATTGAGAGTAAGTGACATCTATCAAAACAATTACTATGCAAGATCTATGTCCGTGCTTCACAACTCCCCATTCTCCCCTATAAAATATTAAACATTATTATTAACTTTAAAATGTTATAATTCATTTTAACAATTTTTTAATTATTCATATTTTTGAATGTTAGAATTTATCTTACGTAAAGATGATAAATCAATCACGTAAATTCAGAAGTAAATTTACAAACTAACCTATTTAAATTGAAATGTGATTGTAAAAAGGCAAGTGCGAGTTGCATGTGCACTGAAATGGCGGGTTCCAAAAGTGGTTCTCAATCCAGTTCTTAATTCTTTTCCTAAAAAAAGTTCTCAAACTTATCCTAAAAAAGACGTTTAATCTGATACTAAAAATGTTACTCCTTAAACCAGTCCTTAATTCTTATTCTAAAATAAGTCCTCAAACTAGTCATCAATTCTTATCCTAACACCAGTCCTCAATCTGATACTGAAACTAGTCTTCAAACCAAACTTCAATTCTATTCCTAAAAGAAGTCCTCAAACTAAACCTTAATTATTATCCTAAAACAAGTCCTCAATCTGATACTGAAACTAGTCCTCAAATTAGTCCTTAATTTTTTTCCTAACAGAAGTCCTCCATCTGATACTAAAACTGGTCCTCAAACCAGTCCCCAATTCTTATCCTGAAATAAGTCCTCAAACTAAACCTTAATTATTATCCTAAAACAAGTCCTCAATCTGATACTGAAACTAGTCCTCAAATTAGTCCTTCATTTTTTTCCTAACAGAAGTCCTCCATCTGATACTAAAACTGGTCCTCAAACCAGTCCCCAATTCTTATCCTGAAATAAGTCCTCAAACTAGTCCTCAATTCTTATCCTAAAACAAGTCCTCAATCTGATGCTGAAACTGGTCCTCAAAAAAGTCCTTAATTCTTTTCCTAACAAAAGTTCTTAAACTGTTTCTAAAACTGGTCCTCAAACTAGTCCCCAATTCTTATCCTAAAGTAACTCCTCAATCAGATACTAAAACTTGTCCTCAAACCAGTCCTTAATTTTTATCCTAAAACTGGTCCTTGAACTATTCATCAATTCTTATCCTAAATCAAGTCCTCAATCTGATACTGAAACTGGTCCTTAAAACAGTCTTAAATTCTTTTCCTAAAAGAAGTCCTCAAACTGATCCTAAAACTGGTCATCAAACTAGTCCCTTATTCTTATTCTAAAGTAACTCCTCAATCTGATACAAAAACTTGTCCTAAAACCATTCCTCAATTCTTATCCTAAAATAAGTCCTTAAACGGATCCTAAAAATGGTCCTCAAGCTAGTCCCCAATTCTTATTCTTAAGTAACAGCTCAATCTGATACTAAAACTAGTCAATTCTTATCAATTCTTATCCTAAAATATTGCCTTTAAAATATTCATCAATTCTTATCCTAAAACAAGTCCTCAATCTGATGATGAAACTGATCCTAAAACTGGTCCTCAAACTAGTCTTCAATTCTTATCCTAAAAGAAGTCCTCAAACTGATCCTAAAACTGGTCCTTAAACTATTCATCAATTCTTATCCTAAAACAAGTCCTCAATCTGATACTGAAACTGGTCCTTAAACTATTCATCAATTCTTATCCTAAAACAAGTCCTCAATCTGATACTGAAACTGGTCCTTAAACTATTCATCAATTCTTATCCTAAAACAAGTCCTCAATCTGATACTGAAACTGGTCCTAAAACCGGTCTTTAATTCTTTTCCTAAAAGAAATCCTCAAACTGATCCTAAAACTGGTCCTCAAACTAAACCTCAATTCTTATCCTATAAAACAAGTCCTCAATCTGATACTAAAACTGGTCCTCAAAATAGTCTTTAATATTTTTCCTAACAGAAGTCCTCAAAATGATCCTAAAACTGGTCCTTAAACTAGTCCTTAATTCTTATCCTAAAATAAGTTCTGAAACTGATCCTGAAACTGGTCCTTAAACTGTCCCCAATTTTTATTCTAAAGTAAAATAAAAAAAATAGTAAATAAAATAAAAAAAATAGTAAATTTTTATTCAATCTGATACTAAAGGCGCTTGTTTACCTCCCCGTTTCTGAGTATTTTTTTAAGAAACGTGAAGCAGTTTTCTATGTTGAAAACGAGTTTTCTATCTTGGAATCCGTGCTAAAAAATTATTATTATGGCGTGATGATTTGAATGTCAGTTCGTAATATATTGTGATTGGTGGAAAATATGACATTCAAATAATCCCGCCATAATAACAATTGTCTATTGCGGCTTTCAATGGCTTCCAAGATAGAAAACTCGTTTTCAACTTAGCAAACTGCTTCACACGTTTCTGAATATACTCAGAAACGGGGAGGTATACAAACGTCTTAAAACTGGTCTTCAAACCAATCCTCAATTTTTATCCTAAAATAAGTCCTTAAAGTAGTCATCAATTCTTATCCAAAAACAAATCTTCAATCTGATACTGAAACTAGTCCTCAAACCAGTATTTAATTCTATTCCTAAAAGAAGTCCTCAAACTTATCCTAAAACTGGTCCTCAAACTAAACCTCAATTATTATCCTGAAATAAGTCCTCAAAATAGGTCCAATTTTTATCGTAACACAAATCCTCAATCTGATATTGAAACAGGTTCTCAAACTAGTCCTCAATCTGATACTGAAACTGGTCGTCAAATTAGTGCTTAATTCTTTTCCTAACAAAAGTCCTTAAACTGTTCCTAAAACTGGTCCTCAATCTAGTCCTCAATTCCTTTCCTAAAATAAGTCCTCAAACTAGTCATCAATTCTTATCCTAAATCAAGTCCTCAATCTGATACTGAAACTAATCCTTAAAACAGTCTTTAATACTTTTCCTAAAAGAAGTCCTCAAACTGATCCTAAAACTGGTCCTTAAACTAGTATTTAATTCTTATCCTAAAACAAGTCCTCAATCTGATACTGAAACAGGTCCCCAAACTAGTCCTAAATTCTTATCTAAAAATAAGTCCTTAAACTGATCCTAAATCTGTTTCTTATATCAGGCCTTTATTCTTATCCGAAAATAAGTCCTCAATCTGATACTTATACGTGTCCTTAAACCAGTCCTCAATTCTTATACTAAAAAAAGTCCTTAAATTGATCATAAAACTGGTCCTCAATCTGATATTAAAAATGCTTATCTTTTTACCATAGTTTTCGATTGTTATACTGAAATAAGTCCTCAATGTGATCCTTTGACTGGTCCTCAATCTGATACTAAAACTGGTCCTCAAATCTTATTCTAAAACTTATCATCAAAAAATTTTTTAATCTGATCGTAAATCTAATACTCAAACAAGTGTTTAATCTCATATGATAACTTGTCCCCAAACATGTCCTCAATTTCTTTTTAAATTAGTTCTCAGTGATATCCTTAATCTTTTCCTGATAAAACCTTGAAGCATTTGAACACCATGTTTGTCTTGCTACAAACTTCTACATAAAAAAGTAAATGAAGAAATGACTGCTTTCTGCCTATATGTTATGAAGTGATATTATTTATTTTTTAAAGATATTCGCTTAAAATACACATTTTTATTTTCAATTACAGATGATA